TTAACCTGTTACGGATCTTTCAGAGATTAAGTTAGCCAGTCTTAGAAGTTGAGTGCGGAAGGCAAGACACCCGACTCATATGATTAACGATAGTATTTTGTCAGTGCGAACGATAGAACTGATAAGAAGGGTTCGATGCATGCGCATTTGAAAGGGTTCAGTACCTCCAAAAAGGCTAAGTACCACTGATATAGATATTCATATAAAGACCTCAACGCAAGAAAGCGTAGTTTCAATCCGCGGGTCAAATCAAAAGAGAAAAATACCGGTGCAATTCTATTTAGTTCAGATGCGATATGTTCACTCGATTGTTTATTACAATTCATGTTATTAATTACATATTTTAGTTTAGTTACATATCATTAAATATTGTTTTTTTTTAGTTTAAATATATTATCTAAGCACGAAGTAAAATATTCAGATTTTATTTTAATTGTTATTTCGTAGACGTATTTGGCTAACCACTTTTTTAAATCGATGTTTGCACAACAAATGCACGTTTAGGAACACATGCACCCCACTAAGTGGCACGCCTCCTCCAACACACACACACACACACACACACACACACGAACGCACGCACACACACGCACGCAACAACCAATTCACACGCCTCCTCCAACACACAAACGCGTACACACACACACACACACCTTAACCAACACTTACACTTCTTCACCTTCATATTGTGCAGCGGCAAGCATCCTGTTACAAGATTTTATTTTTTGCCTACAGTGGGATTTGTTTAAGTGCTTTAAACATCCCCACTCTGTGTCCTAATTTCCCATATCTGGAAAGGGCGGTGTTCTCAAAACAAGCAAGTGGTTACTATTTTTACTAGAAGGTCAGAGTAACCTAGACAACGAATGAGCTGATACATCCTAGTGCCTGGTGCAGACTGATACTCTGTGTCCTAATTTCCTATATCTGGAAAGGGCGGTGTTCTCAAAACAAGCATATTTTTACTAGGAGGTCAGAGTAACCTAGACAACGAATGAGCTGATACATCCTAGTGCCTGGTGCAGACTGATACTTGAATCCGGGCATCTCTTGAGTTTGTAATGAAAAAAAAAAGTATTAAGTGTCTCTTGGGGTAGCTTGCCAAGTTTTAAATTACAAAGTTAGGTTGAATTTATAATTTGTTTTTTAAAACATCCACCGCATAATAATGTAAATTTAAACAGAAACTAAACATACGATTGTCATTTTAATGTCTATCAATTTCACTTTTCATCATTTTCGACGGCGATAAAATAAGTTACAAATAAATATGTAAACTCGAGTATTTCATGCCCTAAATAATCCTAATTTTTGTGATTTGATATCTCATAATGAATATACTTTGCAATCAAATAGGATAAAATACTAATGTTTTCTTTTCCTAAAGCAGGAGCTTCGAGGAAGGATTGTGAAAAAAAACATCGATTACGACTTCTTGCACAATTTCAATAGGGGCCTGTTTCCTTTCTACTCTGAATTTGACAAGGAAGAGAGGTGTAAAACGGCGAAAGTTGACACAATCTTATTTGATTTTTTGCACGATTACTCTGTATACAAGAAAGTATAATGCAATATTTCTTTTTTGAAAACGTAAAAGAGTAAAAATTTGTTTAAGAATACATTTACAAAAGAAATTGGAAATTTTCTACTGCAATTACACGCTTAACAGGATTTCTGAAACGACAATAAAGAAAACATTTATAATTCAAGGAAAGCTCCAAATGTAAAGAAATCGAAATAGCCAATGAGAATATTTTGGGTCAAGGTTATTGTAGCAGCTCACCATATTGTGCACGCGAGTCACCTTAAACGAAGAAAACACTAAGTGAAATGCTACATTTAGCTCAGATGTTATGTGTTAATTTGAATGTTTAGTCCAATACATCGTAGCGAGTACAGAGCTGAATTTGGTTACATTTTACTAAGCTCAAATTTTAATAATTTTAAGTACAGTTATCTGTGATTAGTATTAATATAAATATATGTCGAAACTACTCGAACGTAATAATTGTACAACTCTTAAACCTCCATACAATCGTGCTACTCCACAAAAGCATGCAACATCACCGACACATACACAAACACCATCACAAGCACCTAACATGCAACATTACATACATATACACCATCCCATGCATCACTCCTCCACATAACACATGCAACGTCACCGACACATACACATACACCACCCCATGCATCACTCCTCCGAATAACACATGCAACATCACCGACACATACACATACACCATCCCATGCATCACTCCTCCACATAACACATGCAACATCACCGACACATACACATACACCATCCCATGCATCACTCTTCCACATAACCATGCAACATCACCGACACATACACATACACCATCCCTTGCATCACTCCTCCGAATAACACATGCAACATCACCGACACATACACATACACCATCCCATGCATCACTCCTCCACATAACCATGCAACATCACCGACACATACACAGACACCATCCCATGCATTACTCCTCCGAATAACACATTCAACTCCTCACTACACCTACCTCCACCCATACGTGCAGTCCTTCTCACATATGCACCCCCATATCCACCAACACATACACATCTCCACATACACACTTCCACTAACACATGCACCTTCACCAACACCGCACAGAGTATAGTAAAATCATGTTTAAATTTATTTTTGAGTTATGGGGTCAGACGTCACGCTTTTTTTGGCGATTTTTACCTCCCCCCCCCATCCCTCTCCTTCACACATCGTCACAAAAAACCAGAACCTCCCCCACCCCCGCCATAAAAGGACGTCACAACTCAGTCTACAACCCCCCCCCCCCCCCTCAAAATTGCTGTTGAATTTTTCTTAAAACATTAATATTTTTCCAAAATCTTGTCTGAACTCTGTCAACATAGAGTTTTTTGATAAATTCCTGGTTCAATTTATTAAAACAGTTTTCTAAAACGCGAAATAATGGCTAACATTAGTTTTCGTACACTGATATTTTATAACTCAAAAAGTGTGACGTCACACCATCTGAATTCCCACCCCTCCCCGCATCACACACTGTCACAAAATTACGGACCCCTCTTCTTCCCCCCCCCCCCCTTTTCCGTGTGTGACGTCATTAATGTCTATTGTCTTCTTACTGTGAACTGTAGCAAAGCATAACAAGAATTTAAATGTGTTTTGTTTAACCATCACACTGCGTGTTCTACTTTCGTCTGGTCAAGGACAGTTAACCTAAAAAAAAAACGCAAGCGGTCAGCGTTTTTCAACTAGTTCTGTGAAACAAGAAAAAAAAAAGCTGATATATCCTGGTTCTGGCTGCGTTCAGTGGGGTGGAAGATAAGCCTGGTCACAACCATAGGCCAGAGTGACCGAGTCCAGTGGGGTGGAAGATAAGCCTGGTCACAACCATAGGCCAGAGTGACCGATACGGTAATCAAACTGGTATCTAAGCCAGTAGTCGGAGTTTGCCGTGTTGAGGCCTGTCTGGCTAATGGGAGACACCTCCTGAGCCTGTGATTTTTTAGCACGTAGGAATTTCTTTCACAAAATGGTAAATGTAATGCTACTGAAGTTCAACAGTGTAAAATAAAGTATGGATCTCCCCTAAACTTTCTCGAATATTCAGTGGCGGAACTAGAACAAACTGGCCACCCCGCAAACATTTTTTTAGCCCCCCCCCCCATCTTTATATATAGGCCTATATATATATATATATATATATATATATATATATATATATATATATATATATATATATATATATATATATATATATATATATATACAAACACAAAATACATAGGGTACTCATTGCTGGCCTGTTCCGGTTTTGAAAAAAAAAAATTCAATTAAAACAAATTACAAAACCATGTCATGTGTTTAAGTGCATTAGTGTGTTTTGTGAAAATCATTTTCTTTTGCTATTAAATCTATTACCATTACTCGATCAAAAGATTATAAACCATGACATTTTGTATAAGTAATGGTTTCTCGTGGGGTCTACGACAAATTCCCGAAATACACTTGCCCGAATGCCGTTTGCCCGAAGGCCGATTACCCGAATGGACACTTGCCCGAATGCGACAAATGCCCGAATGGACACTTGCCCGAATGGGACAAATGCCCTAATGGGCAAATAATTGCATTTTAATTTGTTTAGTACAAATCTATTAAAATGAGCTTATGCGCACCCCTATTTGACTATTTAGAAAAGAGAAATAAGTCACGGAAGTGGTTTGAACGTTTAATAAGTTTGATTGTAGGAGAAAGAGGACTCGGCTTTCACAGTGGTTTAAAAACAAAGGGAAAAATAATATACAAGAACGTGGAGGTGGTGTCTATAGAATAAAGATAATCCAACCGCAACTACGGTAATCTTTTTACAAAACAACCATCAAGTCAAAACTGCAAGAAAATTATAAAAGGTTTAAACTATTAAAAAAATTATTATGGTCGGCTTTGGGCCCCTAAATGGCTTGCCCCCCCCCCCCCCACCCCCCCCCCCCACCCCGCATTGCGGGGTCTGGCGGCACTGTAGTTCCGCCCCTGCGTATATTATTATCTAACACTAAAGGGGAAGGCGTTCTATAAAAAATCACTCACAATTTCACAGAAACCAGAAAATACAATAATTTACTTATATATTACATTTCGTCTACTGGAGTATTAAAAGCTAACATCAAGCAATCTGAGAAATACTGTTGTAGTTTAAAGTTTGTTTCCTAGAATTGCAATAGTCTGTCAAAATATAGTTACTCAATGTTATAAATAAATATCTGTTGGATAAATTAATCTGTTTGTAAAGCTTAAGGAAAAGATGTATTCATAAGATCGCCATGACCTAACTGCAATAACTATAAGTAAAGGGGAAATGAAAACCGGACGAATAAGGATCCTGACCTAAACAAGAGCGTCTATTACTGTACGAATGAGAAATTATGCAGTACGGCAAGAGTGTTTCAAGTATTAGATGTCAACGACATGTTCATGTCTAGAGACAAGGAGCAAGTTATATAAGGTGAAGGTTGTAGTTTTTTCCCATGATGTGAGGGACAATTCGAGACTAGCTAGAACCAGGACACTGCACTTTTCTTGGAATCGCAAGGCAGGAAACGGATCTAAAGCTGATATCTTCATTGGCTGAATCTTTCCTCTATAAATGGTGTTTAGTGTATAAAAGCAAGACTTCTGCAAGCTTTCTTCATCATTCCAGAATAGCTTCGCATCTATTACAGTACAAATTTAAGAAGTTTCGAGCAAAAATTAAGTAAGTACCTTTAACTTTTAATCGAAACACAGACTTCCTCTACAGAAGTAGCAATCAGTGGCGTAGAGAGGGCGGGTGTCATCCAGTGCGGCGTAGTGACTCTACCCGGGGACAAACTTTCAATTTTCGATTTGCACACCCCCCCCCTCGAACTTTCGATTTGCACACCCCCCCCTTCAAATTTTTCTCGATGTATGTTACTATTTTTTGCCTAGTTGTCACCCCCCTAAATGGTGTCACCTGGTGCGTTCCACACCCCCGCCCCCCCACCCCTCGCTACGCCTCTGGTAGCAATGCTTATTTTCGTTGATTGATGTTGTGCAGTATTATCATCTTCACTGTACTGGCCTAAAACACACGAGGCAGATGACGCAGAGCTCATCTGTTTCAATGATCTCGACAAACAAGGAGATAGTGTGGTCAGCACTTTGTCCAGCCACCTTTACCCTTACGTAGGTCAGGTACCCATCCCACTTGGGTGGACTGAGGAACGCGCTAAGACTCTAGCCAGAGACTAGAACTCGCCTTAGCAGACGAACGCTCTGCCATTCAATGACGCCTTTCCATCAGCATTATATTTCTTATAATATTGACGTGTATTGGACGATCAATGATCATTCCTTAAAACAATGACTGGTACACTATAATTAGTCCATTAATCAAAATTGGTTGTAAATTGACTGTAAATTGGTGGCGATACGAATACTAACGACATCAGCACAATCATATTTGCTTAACATTATATATATATATATATATATATATATATATATATATATATATATATATATATATATATATATATATATATATAACTTGAAACAAAGTAAACAGTAGCAGCGGTTCTATCTAAGCAACAGTCTAGCAACTCAAACTATCAGAACCAACGGGCCATAGAAGACTAATGTGGCGATCTCTATATAGCAGTCAGTGTTTGATGGCACTCTTCTCTCAGATATTAACTCATTTCTTTTATCTTCAAGCTTAATAATGTCCAAAGCACTCAATCTGACCTCATATAATAATATTAAATGTGTTCTGTACTAAAACACATAGAACACGAGCATTGTATTTTATGTTAACGTAACATTTATTTCAGTCACTTGAAATGAACCCTCGCCGTGTTATTCTTGTTGTGGCGCTATTCATTAGCGTTAATGGAAATGAAGGTTAGTATGGAGAAAACGGATTTCTGTCTAAATAATATAGGATGTGGTATAACTAGAAAATTAATAATAGATTGGAATTTGGTAAGAAAAAAAAAACAATTATTGATTTTTTAAATTTTCTGAATGAAATACTTTGTCATAGACGAAGTAACCGAGTCGCTATGATTAATATGTAACTTATTATGGTTTTAATATTTCAACCCTTTGGAAGAATAACTTAATATTAAAGTGTTTATACTGTCTCTTTATATGTAATTAACGACTTTGTAAGGTTTATTGATAAAACTTAAAAATCAACGACACTGAACTACCTATTACTAATGTAACGTTTTTACTGCTCTCAAAATATGCTGTTCTATTGTAATATTCTTGCTTCTATCAAATGTAACGTTCTTCCTCTCTTCTATTTCTCACTCTCAGTCACAGTCACAGACGATGAAGAATGAAGAATAAGCCGTCTTCTGCAAATCTTTATTTGACTATCTTTCTTGAGCGGGAATTGTCTGTGTAGCGCGCATCTAACAAGACTATAGCGCCAATACGTGTGCTGCATAAATTACTGGCTAGGGCCGTCGTTTCTCCATCCCTTCTAAGGCTAACCCACCGGTTTATATACCCCACCCGCGAGCGTCTCGGATGACACCTTGCTCTTGGCACGAATTCTAACGCTTACCTGTGAAAATTTCTCCCGCTTTTGTGCTAACCGACCCCAAATAACCTTATATAAAAACTTAACGCGATCTCCTAAAATTCTAATAAGCTTATCTCTGAAACCACAGACAATTCCCTTTACAATGATACAAATTACAATAAACATCAATAAGTTGTTCTTCAACAATAATACTTCAAACATGCAAATATTGTAAAAATATCATCAAATACCCCTAATTAAAGTAGATTTCCATAATATCGGCTTGCTCCTAACTAACACTAAGATATTCTAATTAAAGATCAAGCTTGGCCTAATAGTTCTTCCAATTTTCATGCTATAATAACAACTATTTATTAAGATATGAATTTTTCTTCTTGCCCTACTAAGCACAATTGACTGATTTCTAACAAATTCACTACATTTGACCCTACCAAAGTTAAGAATTTTGTCCTCAAAATTGATTTAATTTATTAAAGGTTTTGTATATTCAACATCTTAAATCACATCTTCATAAATGTGATACATCATAAACATTCATTATAATTATCAAAATGCAACATAATGTTCAAATTAAAAAAACAACAACCAGAAACTGGCTCCATTGTAATATCGATTAACATGAAGTTATTATACAGTCTTGTTTTGCATTTGTAATGTCTACGTTCCTTCTGGTTAGATCTGTACATCTTATAATTTCAATGTTCCTGTGGTATGTTCACAGACCAACCCATAGCATAATTGTAATGGTTCTAAAGCTTCTATATTGGTCCTGGCACAAAGTTAAACTGTATCTACTTACATTTCGTTGGAATACATTCACATCCAGGAATGTAATGAAAAACACCCGATTTTACAAAAATTCACAAGGTATCTGAATAATCCAGATCATTATTTAAGAATTCACACGATATTTAAGTAATTTAGAACACTATTTTAAGAATTCACTCGGTATCCTAATAATCCAGAACACTATTTTAAGAATTCACACGGTATCCAGATAATCCAGAACAGTCTATACTTATCAATTTAACAGGCTCTATTTTTGTTAATCCAACAGTCGACGAGGTCGTTTGATTTCTCGTCGGGGTCTTGTATTTCCCCTTGCGTCGTTGTGTGTAGTAACAGTTAGTTTTGGCCTTGATTCATCAGCCCCGTGATCATCGCCTCTCTCTGACAGCTGATTCTCTGTGGCTTGACCTTCGTCGCCTGTCTCATCGTCCGTTCAGTATTCCGACAGTTGAGGTGAACCACCATCGGGATGAAGTTTGAGTTGTAAGTCAACGATCCATTTCGTTGGTTCCCGTTGGTGAAATGGTTTTAGTTTGTCGTGGTGCACGACTTTTGTCTTTTTGTCCTTGTTCTCTATCTCAAAGAGAAGGTCACTCAGTTTCCTTATGATGACGTATGGACCTTTTCAGTGTCTGGGAGCAAGCTTCCTACTCACGCCTACTTTCCTTGCCTCCTTTAGACACAACACTACATCTCCAACATTGTAGTCATTGGAGACAATGTTGAGGTCGTAGTATCTTTTGTTCCTCTAGTGTAGGCCTCCTGTCTTCTCGACAGGTTGTTGCCTAACTTGACATCTCTCGCAACAGTTCACCCAGTTGGTGACCTCATGTTTCATTCTAAACCAAAAATAATATTCTTGTACCTTGGCTAATGTGTTTTGAATGTCAACATGTCTGGCGCCCTTGTTATTGTGACACTTCTCTAGAACCTTAGACATTAGGAGATGTGGCACTATCACCTTTAGTTCTGTCTTCCGTTCTTTTGTCACCCACTTCCAACATAATATGCCATCTGCAAGTGTCAGTCTGTTAAAATTCAGCCAGTAATAGCGGAGTTCCCGGCCTTCTGCGGTTAACTCCCTCTGTTCAGGTCTCTGTTCGTTCTGTACCCAGGAAATACACTTCTTCAATATATGATCACCATTTTGTGCCTTCCGAATTTCCTGCTGGGAGAACAGTAGACCCTTCCGCAGATAGAATCGATCATGTTTCTGGTCTGTAATAGAAGCTTTCAATATTGCGGCAACTGGTGCCACTCTATGTGTATTTTGTGTGCTTCTTGGAACTGCGTCATTAAAGTTGTAGAAGTTGGACCGCCATCTTTGGTCTTCTACTTTGAACATCTTTTCTCTGCCTCTGGTCTGGGTTGGGACTCTTCTACCATTGAGGTATAAGCCCTTTTTAGCCGAAAATTGAAACTCATGTTTCATTAGGAAGTCCATCCCTAAGAAACCATCTTCGTCAATGTCAGCTATGACTGTTGTCCACTTTGTGACAACATTGCCAGCTCTCATATCTACTGTACATGTGTCTAGACAGTTTATTCTGTCGCCCCCTGCAGATTGCAGTGTGACCTTCTTGTCCATGGGTTTAAGTTTGTTTCTAATGGCTTGTGGTAACTTGTTGAAGGCTCTTGTGGACATAACAGTGACAGCAGCGCCCGTGTCTACCAGAAACATCATATTGTGTCTTGCTACCGTTACAGTCACCACTACTGAACACCCGGGGGCAACGCTACGGATTAAAATCTCTGTTGGCACGTCCACTTGCTTGTTGCTTGCCGCGGCTCTTACTTTCAGAAAGTTAAGGCCTAAAAGATTTTCGTCATTGTTATCTGTACCATTCTGTCGGATTTCATTTATTCTGGCTGTAGATTGGGTTGGCCGGGCTTGATAACTGTATGTATTGCCATTACTCGACATTCGTTGGTTAATCTCTTGATTTCGATGACTTCTAGGGCAATTCCTAGCCAAATGTCTACCCCCACACGTATAGCATCCCGAATCTCTGGGCCTGCGTTGATTACTTATGACCATCTCTTGTAGTCTTTTCACCTCCTGCTGTAGACTATCTAACTGGCTCTGCTCCTGCACCGAACACATTTTCGTTTTTGTTGTGCTGTCTCTAGCACTGAGGTATTCGTCCAGAATGTTTCTGGCCTCATCTGTGCTAACTGGGCGCTGGGCGGCAATGATACCTGCGAGGTGAGGATCTTGTAGCCCCTTGAGAAAATAGCGCAGTGCAACTGTTGCTTTAGTTGCTTGGTCAGCTGACGGGAAAGCCATGGCCGTCAGTCGTTTCACATCTGACGTGTATTCAGCGGTTGTCTCCCTTGCTGACATCTTTCTATTTTCTAACTGGGTCAGATGTGTAGCGGTGCCCACCCTGGTGTCAAATCTAGCGCTCAGTGCTGCGACAAACGTTCCAAGTGTTGCTCGGTCAACTTGAGTGAGTTCAAGAAATGCAAAGTTGGCCGCACTCCCCTCCAAACAAGCTGGTAGATGCAGTAGCTGTCTATCTTCATTCCAGCTGTTAATGCGAGATATCGCTTGAAACTTGTTCCAAAACACTTGGAATGGCGCTGACCAGTCGTATTGTGGTAACGCCTGGTTCATACTTAATGGTCGCTCATCTTGTCTAGCGATTCTGAGTTCTTTAATCGTTTCTTGCAGGCTTCTTATTTGAGCCTGTAGTTCAATATCTGCCATTTTTCTCTTCTGTACTAACTAGCCTGCTTTCAGTCTCTCTGGTTGCGTGTTAAAGATCGTTTCTTTCGCTGCCACCAAATGTAACGTTTTTAATGCTCTCAAAATATGCTGTTCTATTGTAATATTCTTGCTTCTATCAAATGTAACGTTCTTCTTCTCTTCTATTTCTCACTCTCAGTCACAGTCACAGACGATGAAGAATGAAGAATAAGCCGTCTTCTGCAAATCTTTATTTGACTATCTTTCTTGAGCGGGAATTGTCTGTGTAGCGCGCATCTAACAAGACTATAGCGCCAATACGTGTGCTGCATAAATTACTGGCTAGGGCCGTCGTTTCTCCATCCCTTCTAAGGCTAACCCACCGGTTTATATACCCCACCCGCGAGCGTCTCGGATGACACCTTGCTCTTGGCACGAATTCTAACGCTTACCTGTGAAAATTTCTCCCGCTTTTATGCTAACCGACCCCAAATAACCTTATATAAAAACTTAACGCGATCTCCTAAAATTCTAATAAGCTTATCTCTGAAACCACAGACAATTCCCTTTACAATGATACAAATTACAATAAACATCAATACGTTGTTCTTCAACAATAATACTTCAAACATGCAAATATTGTAAAAATATCATCAAATACACCTAATTAAAGTAGATTTCCATAATATCGGTTTGCTCCTAACTAACACTAAGATATTCTAATTAAAGATCAAGCTTGGCCTAATACTTCTTCCAATTTTCATGCTATAATAACAACTATTTATTAAGATATGAATTTTTCTTCTTGCCCTACTAAGCACAATTGACTGATTTCTAACAAATTCACTACACTAATTTTATTACAATCCATATTTTCACAGCATCTGAACTACAGCTGAATTCATCAGCTTCCATAATAGTACCGAAATTGAAACAGCCTCTCGATGTGATTTGCAAACTCGAGGTAAAATAATTATTTTGTAAATAGCAATGTTTTTGTTATATATATATATATATATATATATATATATATATATATATATATATATATATATATATATATATATATATATATATATATATATATATATATATATATATATATATATATATTAGCTCGCCCGTCCCCGCGCGTTGCCGCGGTCTCAGAAGAAAGTCTGATTAGTCACAGGATAGCCTGGGATAAATTGCATCAAGCCGGTTTACGGGCGGACGCGCCTGATTCAATTTAATTCAAACATACGTGATATCTTTTGAATTCCTTGAGATCTTTTGTCCTGATATCTTTTGTTTTCAGATCATTTGTCGGTAAGATATTTTGTCTGAGATGTTTTGTCTGAGATGATTTGTCTTTAGATCTTTTGTCCTGATATCTTTTGTCCTGAGACCATTTGTCCGTGAGATGTTTTGTCTGAGATCTTTTGTCTGAGATCATTTGTTCTTATATAATTTGTTATGGAACCCTTTTATTGTATGTTCTGTGTAAATGATATTGCAGTCTTAGAATAACTCTTCAGACTGGAAAGAGTCGTTTATACATTTTAAATATTCAAATTTAGAAATTTAAATCCGTCATAATGTTCGTATCATTGTATGCTTATCTGTTTATGGGCAAATATTAGGCTAATTTATATTCGAGATATACCAACAATTTTCCAGGCAACCGATCCTTTAAATTTAACCAAAGTTGATGCCAAAACTGTCACTTCAATAACTATAAGTCGAGGTAAGTCGCCTTAAAGATTTTTTCAAAACACTATTGACGTCATGAGGACTATTGCCAATCTCAATTATAATTACTGTGACAGCTAGCTAGACACCTATTGGAGTGTATACGTTTCAACATTTTTGTTACACACATAAATGTATTCCTTTTATAGCTATCCGTTTGATAATTAGATCTTGCGATTAGGACCTCCACTGATATTTGAGAAAAGCTTTTTCTGTATATGGCCGTAATTTATTGGCTTGTCAAGCTAACTTGAATAATATTAAAAGGGAAGGTTTTATTACACATTTCCTCATTTAGGTTAATTCTGAGATTCGCCGAACTTTATGATGTGCGTATTATATAAATTGATTTGCTTTTCATGTCGCTATTTGCAAGCTTTTATTTAACTTACTTATACTACCTCTGCCTTTCACGTGCATTTGTCTTTTGTCTGTATGGATAGAAGCTGGCGGGCGAAATTTCGACCACTTCTAACCTACCTATTTCTCAGAAACCTGACGTGGGTCAAGACCCGATGACAATGCAATCTGACAATGACATCATATCTCTTGGCTTATACAAAATATGAAAATGAGTGTAACCGATGGTTCCCAAACAGCTTTAATTTTTTAAAGTGTAACTATACTTTTATCGCTTGCCATACTTTTTTAAAGACTTTATTTAAAATTCAGTAAGATTACAAAAACTTTTTGAGCCCACTGTGGTCTCCATCTGTCCAGGACACGAAATGATTCCCACACAGCAGAAGTTTGTCTGTGATTGTGTCCCAGAATTTAAGTTAGTTCAATACTAGTTGAAGCAGTATAAGCCTACATTTAAATACTGCTCTATGTAGTTCAACACTTACAAACTTAATGGAAACCAATTGCACAATGGTGATCAAGTCGAGTTTTTTTACTATATGGAATTCATTCACAATTCTGTCAGTTCGTCCAATTCATACAGATGTACACAGCCTTTTCATCTTTAAAGTATAGATTAATGAAATATTAGTAATATTATAACTACTGTTTTTATAAGTGGTGGAAAACAAAAAGAAGTAGTAATATTACTATTTGCGATTAATATTACTATTTTTTTTATTTCAGAGAATGACGTGATTGCATCTATCTCTGCCTGCGGTCCAGTGAAGATCTACAGTGACCACCAGACAATCAGGGTTGAGGGTGAAGTGTCAGGTGACCATGGTTACCTTCAGCTCTACTGGTCCACTGCTAGCACGAAACAGGCTGGAAATTACACATGTAGTCTCTTCTTGGAAACAGGAAAACAAGCAACTATGTTGAAGAGACTCATTACCATTGAAAGCAGACAGACGACGCTAGAAGACCTGATAGATTTATTCATGGACATGAATAATAGGCTAGGCATTTCTGAATTAGAATTACGAAAGTGGAGTACTGATAAAGAAATGGCCAGCCAGTCATCGGTAGAAAAGCTTATGAATATGATCCTCAATGTTACCAAAAGGCAGGACGCTTCTGAAAAAGAGACTGAAAAGGTTAGTACTGGTGAAACAAATGGACAGCCAGACACTTCACAACTTTAACCAAAGAATAGATAGAACTATCACAATTTTAGACAACAACATTTTGAACATTTTACATTAGTATTTATAGGGTAAAGTACATTAAGGTTATGATAAATTTAAATATGCCTTACAAAATACATTATTATTACAAAATACATTTGGTCAAATGTATATTTCGTAATTAAAATGTGGTTAGAATCTTATAAATTGACTATATATGTTTATTCTTTATTAAAAAATTACTACGAATTTAATAGTCAACTGGTTCTTTTAGAATGTAGTCTACCTTTTAAATTAATTTCAGCTTAAACCAAAGGCTTCTAAGGAATGGACGCTGGCGTTTCGTGGTACAGCATACATAGGAAAATCTGTTTACGCAGCCTATAAGAACGGTACTGGGATCCCAAGTGAGGTGGAACCCGGATGTAAGCAGGTGAGTTGTCTAAACTCTTTATTCGTATCGAGATACAGAGTAGACGTGGTAATAATAGCTTGCCGAAATTATTATAAAAAGCATCGTTTGTTTTTTTTTTTGCTGTATTTAACCATTGCAAATAAGTTCAGAACTGACATTTCGATGTCTGAAGAAAGTCTGATCAGTCACAGGATAGCCTGGGACAAATTGCATCAAGCCGGTTTACGGGCGGACGCGCCTGATTCAATTTAATTCAAACAAACGTGACACCATATGCATTCCTTGAGATCTTTTGTCCTGATAGTTTTTGTTTTCAGATCATTTGTCAGTAAACATTTAAAATATTGCATATAAACAATATTTAATTGTAGTATAGCACAAAAATCGCAATTTAATTTGAAGCTGAAAATTTCAGAAGTATTAAAAAATATAATGTTCACTTCATTTAATGAAACAAAATAATGGCTTGTTATAGAGAGTTTTTTAAATTAAGATTGTGAATTATTAAATTTTTGTTGCATAGGTCGCAAGCCCATTACCCTGCAACAACCACTACAGGAACTCAGAAGTCTTCGACAACTGGGACAGAGTTAAGGAGGTCGCCTTCGTCGTGTACTCAAACTACACCAGAGTGGGCGACATTTTGTTTGACGGTCAAGACTCTACCTCCATCAGCTGGTTCAACAAGTCCAGAGTTCTGTTCACCACTTGGAAACAAATCAAGACAGACTTCACTAACTTCTTTTCCATTGAAGGTAATAACGTGCCGGAAAATCACAGGGCGTTTTTTATCAACAGTAACTACAATGGATGTCCAGGAGACAAAGGCTGGTTCGTCGCCGTGGACAGCGCCAACAGTTATTGCCCATGGGAAAAGTTCAAATCGTTTCCGGTTTTCAAATATTCCAGGCAGAATGGACCTCAGAACTGGACCAACGGCGATGTGGCTATTGCTGACATGTTTGCCGTCTTCGTTAAATACTACAGCACAGCTTAATGTGCTAAAATTTAAATTACGACACTGAATAATGTAGTATCTATAACTACTAAAACAGTGTCGCTATGTAATGTCTACTCGGAGAAATTAAGATGGATACATCAGGTGTTATATGCGTGCCTGATTGTCTCTGATATTTCTATTACCACTTTAACTATATTACCAATAAAGAATTTATTTACTTCAATTTTCTGTGCGTTAAATGAATAGAAGTTAAGTCTTCGTTATATACCAAAGATTAAACTCCATCTTCTTATGTATCAGACAAGTTCTTTCGTAAAGAATAATATGGGACTATATGTTGCGATTTATAACATAGTGTATACTAACTTTTTACAATGACATAGTATATGTATCTATATGTACGTATTTTGAACCAACTAAACACCCTACGTCTTCCCAACATCAAATCTTAAACTTCCTGTTAAATTGAACTTCCTGTTTAAATTATTATTTTTCGTGTCATACCTTCGACTCACGACTTAGTAATGTCTTTAAATATTAATGAGTGAACAAAACTAATAGTCCATTATTTACTTAATGAAGTGTAAATGAAAATATGAAAAAAATAAAAATAAATAACAAACGTTCTGTGCCACAATGAAATTATTTATAAGAACACGCAACGCCAATTACACAACTTTGGATAACCGCACACTTAAGTTTTCGTGCAATCAAAGGTATATCAAGCACACAGCACACTAAGATTTCTCATTTGCTTCTGCTCAAAGAACATCCTTATTTAATTATACTGTTTAAGAAAACAGTTTTCACACAATACAAAGAACTTAAAAGATATTTTATATTATTTTAACTAGCAAAGCTGTCGCACAACGTTAAAATATATTAAAAAGTGTGAAAACGTGTTAAATTGAATATTTTTTAACATATTAGCTCTTATGTATAACGTAAAGACATATTTTATGAAACACTATTCAAAGAACTTAAAAAGATCTTTTATTTCTTTTATATTATTTTTAAGTAGCCAAACTTGCACACAAGGTTAAAACGATTAAGTAGGAATAATCCCTAACATAGGATAATATTAATTCTCAATTGTTTTTAGAAATTTTAATGAAAGAACTTAATAGATCTTTCATATCTGTGATTCTTGCTTTTAATTAGTCAAAGTGCGCTTACGTTGAAACTTTTAACGTTTAAACATGAATTTTAGTTAGAATCATCCCTGACTTATTAAAATCTTGTTAGGTCTTAAATACAAGATAATAGTCAATATTGTAAAAGCAACAAGTCATTTACATTACCTTTCTCAAACCATACAGATAACTTGTCTCAAATAGGTAAAACTCTTAACTAAAATAACTTTTTAAAAAAAAACCAACTAGTGGTTGTACTAGCTAATTGTTACTATGGCATAACTTAGCAACCAAAAAACATAGTTTACAATAATAAAATCTTGCGTTTACATTATGTAAATTAAATAACTTTTCTTTCTTCGTAATTTCCCTACATTTTTAATAAAACTCAGGTTTGAAAAAACGAACTGAAATCTGACGCCTAATAGAATATGTGTCTAACATGTTTGATCAGGCGACTGGTGCTCACGATCCAAGGAAAATATACCCTGTGGAATACGTGAAAAAAACGGAGATTTACTTTAAAATACATGACAGCCAGTACTCAAAAAGTTATGGAGGGTTTCTTTCACCATATGTAGTTTATATATGCAGATTGTTACTTCAAGCTTTATAGGGTTTGATACATCAAATGGATATATGGGGGTTAGTTATATTGAATAGAAATATGCGGCTTTGTTAAATTAATAAATATTTGACAGATAAACTAAAGAGACTGCTTGTTTGTTACATCTTATGGAAATACGCGAGTCAGGTAAAGTAAAGAAGCCTCTTCAGATTTCTTCACTCCGGCATATGAATGGATGATGTTCTTCTTCTTCTTCTTCGTTCTTAATTATTAGTGTTGAAGGAGATCGAGATTTATCTGCCAGTGGGTTTTGAACTTGAGGACTTTGTTCGAATTTTATCAACCATGAGCTTTTTTTGTTTGCCGACTCGACCACGCCTCCGACAAAATTAAGCGTTACGTGTCAACTGGTTATGCGCCATTGAGGCCATTGACTCCGATTTCAGCCTGCTTTTCTTTTTGGATTTGCTTCCATAGCCTTTGTCCAACCAAGAACAATCTACAAGGCAGCAGTTGTTTAATTTTGGAGTTGTCTCTCCTAGAAGAGTGGCTGTCCCCAGCTAACGAGCCTCATCTGCCCGAGGGTTCGAACTCGAGACTTTTCGGTTTAGCAACCATGAGCTTTACCGACTCGACCACGCCGACCCCCAATGGATGATGTGGTCAGCACTTTGTCCAGTCTTATTTATTTTCCTTACCTTGAGTTAGGTACCCGTCAGAGCTGGGTGGACTCAGGGACGTTCTACTGACTTGAACACTGATTCGAGCTTGAGATTTTCGGGTTAGCAGTCTAGCGCTCTACCTCTAAGCCACGCAGATCCATGGGTTGGTTAAATTTAATGGATGTATGCGGGTTGGTTAAATCTAATGGACATATGCGGGTTGGTTAAATTTATTGGATATATGCGGGTATGTGAACTCTAATGGATGTAGGCGGTTAAATCAAATAAATGTATGTCGGTTAGTTAAATCAAATGCGTGTTTGCAACATTAGGATAATGTCTAAAATGTTATCGTTTACCCATACTGAAAGTAAAATGTTATCGTTAACCCATACTGAAAGTAAAATGTTATCGTTTACCCAAATTGAAAGTAAAATGTTTATTGTTTACCCATACTGAAAGTAAAATGTTATCGATTACCCATACTGAAGTAAAATGCTATTTATTACGTTTTTGTGTTTATTGCTTTGGGTAATATCTGTCTATGTATAATGATAGCAGTTCTCTGAATATATAACGTTACATATAGCCAAATCTATCACATACCTGAATTGCGGCATCGTTCGAGTACTCATGGCAATGTCCTAATGCTGCCTGGCATGAATTATATTCTTCATCCGAATATTTTTTAGGAAATTCCGTCCACTCTGTCTATATATGTATATATATATATATATATATATATATATATATATATATATATATATATATATATATATATATATATATATATATATATATATAAGCAATATAAACAGAAAGTAAAATATCACTTTCTGTTTATATTGCTATTTCAGTTACAACGCCAGTTTCCACACCCACTAAAAAATTGTTATAATACTTGTTCATGAAATGTCATCCACCTAGTTGTAACGGTACTCAAGTTATCGTGTTTACTTACATAATGACATACACACATACATATACCCAGTTTTTCGGACTCGATAACGCATAAAACGCCAACATTTTGAGCAATCTGTATTCATAATTTTTGCCCGATTAAAATAAGTCCCCTATACTCCGTATGTGATGACGTACTGAGGTGTAAAACGGTGAAAACTATCAAAATTGCATGTTATTTTTGTGCACGATTTCAATATTTCCTCTATTCTCTGTATACGAGAAAGTAATAAACCGGGAGTGTTCTCCCCTAAACTTTCTCGAATATTCTTATATAACACTACGTGGGATGGCAACTCGGAATATAGACATGATTTTTAATTACTTAAACTTTAAAAAAAAAAGAATAGAATCTCGTAGAAAAAAAGAATTGCGCACCAAGCGAACGCTAAAACAAATAGTGCATAATATTGCGGAATATTATTAGTACTGTATAAATTTACGTGCGTTTTTTGAGAAATCGGAAATAGCTTAAATTACTACTTCCGTTCAACGGAAATAACTCAAAATTTTATTGAATGTAGAGGATTAGATCTTTTACTTACATATGAAATTTCATTTATCTTTCTAAAATAATACTCAAGTTATAGGCTTTTGAAAAATTTAAAGTAGAAAAAGTACCACTTCCGGTTATTGGAAATCGCTCAAAAGTTGATGCGGATCTACGATTTTGATCAAATACTTATAAATGAAATTTCATCAGCCTAGCTGTAACGGTACTCAAGTTATCGTGTTTACAGACACACAGACACACAGACACAAAGACTCACAGACAGATACACACACATACACACAGACATATGAACAAGATTGCAAAATTATGTTTTTCCTACTCAGGGAGGCGTAAAACGTCGAGATTTGTAAAAATCTCGATTTTTTTTATTGCACGATTACAAGAATTTCTCTATACTTCGTCTATACGAGCAAGTAAATAAACCCCTGAACTTTCTCGAATATTCTTATATTAAAAAAAACAGGGGATGGGAACTCGGGATATAGACATGAATTTTAATTCATTTTAAATACTTAAACTTTGTAAAATAGAATAGAATCTCGTAGAAAAAGAATTACACACCAGTGAACCCAAATAAATTGTGCATACTGGTGCGCAATATTTTAGTCTAATATATAAAGTTCAATTCTGTATGTTTATATGTTTGTAATGGCACCCCGTCAAAAGAGCGCACGACAAAAGAGCGCCGACATAAGAGCGCAGACAAAAGAGCGCCGACATAAGAGCGCCGACATAAGAGCGCACTAATTTCCCGACAAAAGAGCGCCGACATTAGAGCGCAAACTAAAGATCGAAAAACGATATTTAATAAATAGGAACAAGAAAATTAACTCAGATCAGAAGGCATCGTTTGATGTTAACTCTTTATTGTTTCATTAAAAAACTAATTGTTCAGTTTCTTTAACTAAAATACTGATATAATCAACGTGAAGTCCAATTATTCAAAACTCAATCTAATAACACATACAAAGATTTTAAATGTTAGGCCTTAAGTGAGAATATAAACTGAAATGAAATGTAACAAAATGAAAATAAGTTCAAATTAATAAAAAGTTTCTTTATAGTTGCATTTATATTGCTAAGTAGGTAGTCCATCATTGAATCATTAGCATAGGTTGAAGCAATCGTCTGCAATCTTCGGTTCAGCTGAACATATTTGTTCTTTGAAGCTTCTGGTTGATTATCTCCAGTTAGATTACGTTCCAGTTCCTCGACGGTTTCTCCTTTGCCTCCCAATAATCTAACATTGGCATAATTTCTGCAGGACTAGCTTCTACCAAATGCTCGAATGCAGTACAGACATCATTTGCAGGAACAAAACTTAAGGCAAGCAGCATCTTCACTGTCATTCGACATCTGTAGCCTACGACCAATATAATAACCTTC